CTGAATGATCGTTTTTAAATAGTAACTTGCTACTTTATGTTGCATGTTTGTCTCCAAATAACTCATTCGATGCTTTTGACAAGAACAAAGTGATTCGACCATGTCAGTATTATCCGTTTGATTTTGACGCAATAGATATCTCAGAACTTGATGATTAATTAGATACATATATTCTTGACATGTACACATCCGAAGATTTTGAAGGATTACAGGGTATTGGTGATCTTGCACAGAAGTTGGTTGCTAAAAACAAACATGAAGTGTATCAATTAGTTTACAAGCTTGTGACTTAACCTTAGTTCTTCCCGTGGCTACTGCTACAGTTGAGAGATCATTTTCTGCGATGACTTGTGTCGAAAATCGTCTGCCCAATCAAATCGGAGATCAATTGTTGAATGATNAGAATAAACATGAAGTGTATCCATTGGTCTACAAGCTTGTGACATTAACCTTAGTTTTTCCCGTTGCTACTGCTACAGTCGAGAGATCATTTTCTGCGATGACTTTTGTCAAAAATCATCTACGCAATCGAATCGGAGATCAATAGTTGAATAATAATTTGATTGCATATATTAAGAAAGATGTATTTGACAAGATTGAAAATGATATAATTATGGAACATTATCAAAATATGCGAACACGTATAAAATTGTTGTAATAAAATATCTTTTACTTTAATTTTTTCGTCACTTTTTGAAAGTTTGATTGTGCCCCTCTATTTAAGAAGTCTGCGTCCGCCCCTGACTAAGGGGCCTATATACACAAGGATACTTCCCAGTCCAATTTATTTGACACACATTTCTCTTTGTAAAATAAAACATTTTTACTTGTGAATTGGTCAAGCTTCCGCCTTTTGTAAAATAACTTTTTTTCATTGTCGCAAACATTTCCATCACGTCAAAATATCATTTCCGTCATTACAATCTTTACCCAAACTCCAATCCGGCCCACAAAAATTGGATTACAACCCAGGCCCGCCCGCTAACCCATTCGGGTAGAGCCCATGCGGGTCACGGGTTGCGCAGATCGTGGTTTGTTCCGATTTGACACGTATTATTGTATAAATAAAATTATAAAAATATTGAATTTTTCATATTTATAACAAAAAATATTTTTTTTAATTAAATGTAAATTAAGAATTGAACACAATGATAAATTCATATTTATACCAAGAAATGTTTACATAAAATTCAAATTTAATGTTATTTGAATTATTTATAATTTTGTAAAGT